CAGAAGCGTTTGAGCAACTTCAATTATTAGTCAATAAGAAAACAGCATAAAGTAAAAATATATTAAAAGAAAGTAATGAATTACAGTGGATATTCCTCTATTACATGATTTAAAGACTCGTATGTTAGCATCCTAATCCTCACCTAACCCTAAACCTTAACCCTCAACTAACCCTAACCCTAACCTAAACTCTAACCCTAACCCTTAACCCTCAACCCTAACCTTACCCGTTAACGTAACCCTAACCCAATGAACGAGTTTCTATTCCATATGCATCGTGAATTCAGAACCTCTGGACCTTAATCAAACTTTAACAAGTTTTTAAATCATGTAAAAGGAGAATATCCACTGTAATTCATTACTTTTATATAATATATTTTCACTTTATACTAACTTTCTTCTGATTGGCTAATAATTGTCAAGGTCATTTAACATTCGTTCAAAGGTCGTCCTTAAATTAGAGTCTCGCCATTTAATCTTCTGAACTGTTGCTGACCCATTACAATCCAAAGGTTAAAACAATTATGACCGCTGATGCTTCCAACTATGGGATCGGAGCTGTCATTAGTCATCGTCTACCTGGTGGTAAACAAAAACCAATTGCTCATATATCCCGAACTCTTAAACCAGCTGAACGAAAAAAAGTCAGATTGAGAAAGAACTAGCTTTATTTTTGCAGTGAATAAATTCCATAAAATGATTTATGGTCGTCAATTCGCCCTTCAAACAGATCACAAACCGCTCATATCTATATTTTGATCGACGTCGAGTATTCCTGCATATGACCCCAAATCCCTTGGTACGGCCGAGAGTGGGGAGAGTCCGCTCTCCCTCTCGAAATACTCTCACACGGCCGCGCGTATACAGCCTCTGCCAGGGAAGTCCTACTCATTGCCTTCTCGTGGCGGGGGTGTTGTTTACGAAAATGAGAGGACGAAAAGCGAATGTCCGGCGCTTTAACCGGATCACAAACCAATGGTGCACATGGGCTCCAGTATCCTGCGGGAACAAATGGCGTATGAACCAATCGTTGGTCACCGGCTACCATGGGATTGCATCTCCTTACGATGCTCCACTGCCTTGTGGGTTAGACCTTTAGGTCAAAGGCTCGGGGTGTGGCCCCCTAAGATAACCACCTGCTTCGGTTTGGGCACCCGGGCAGTATCACAGCCCACACACAAATGATGAACTCTATGTCTATGGAAACTACTTTTCTCGCTCCGAAAAACAATCAATTGATTCAAATAATTATCATTACAATTATTGTCATTATTAATACATTATTATTATTACTATTATTGTCATTATTATTATTATTATTATTATTTTCCACATTATTCACCCTCTTTTATACTTATACAGCGGCTCGTCTTTGGTGGAAATCCGACTGTATCTAAACGTTCTCGAGTCACTGTCCGGTTGAAAATTGTATGTTACCACCGAATACGAGGACTGAAGCAGTTTTTCTGAAACCACGTGCACCATTCAAACTGGCTGCCTTCAACGTTCGCACATTTATGCAGGTCGGACAACAGATAGGGCTGGCTATGTCTTTGGAAAGTCTTAATATCGATGTTTGTTGTCTATCCGAGACCCGTATTCAAGACTCTGGCGAAGTACTACAAATTCGATCTCCATCTGTCGCTTCGAAAAGCTTGTTTTACGTGCGCTTATCCGGGGACCCTGTGGCATCTTCGTCTGGTCTTGCTGGCGTTGGTGTCGCACTAAGCGCTAGAGCTGAGGCAGCACTAGTCGATTGGATCCCCATTAACAGTCGGTTATGTGCTGTTAGATTAGAAAGTTCCATCAAAGTGAGAAGAAATCGGCGTGAGAAACGATGTCTTTTCGTCATCTCCGCCTATGCCCCGACAGATTGCAGCCCGGATGCAATCAAGGATGAGTTTTACCACCAGTTATCTGTTCTTCTCCAGAAAGTGCGTTCGACAGATATTGTAGTACTAGCCGGAGACTTGAATGCTCAGGTCGGGCGTCTAGGCACAGAAGAGAGTCGTTTAGGTGGCCGATGGGGACTCGTTGGTCGCAGGTCAGATAACGGGGACCGTCTACTGCAACTTTGCACAGACCACAACCTGTTTCTGGCTAGCACTAACTTTCGGCACAGTCATCGCCGATGTGCCACCTGGCGTCCTCCCTCTGCATCTCAAGCCTGGACTCAGATTGATCACATCGCGATCAGCTACCGCTGGCGTGGTTGTGTACAAGACTGCCGCTCCTTTTGGAGTACCTATCTGGACTCTGACCATGCCTTGGTCTGCGCCAATCTTGCCTTACTTTTCAGTGGACAACGAAGTGACCGCCATCAACGGATTGATGTTAGCAAGCTGGTTGCAACTTCTGTTGCAAGTAAGTATCGAACCGAGCTAGCCTCTAGGCTAGCTACCACTCCACCGAAAAGTATAGATGAGCATTGGTTGCAATTGCATGACGCCATGAAAATGGCGGGAACAGTCAGTTGTGGGTTTGCGAAACGTCCCGCTTTTAAGCACTGGGTTTCTTCTGGTTCCTTACAACTCATTGAAGCCCGTCGGTCTACTCCGGGTGACCGTGAGTTTGACCATAAACGAAGGATGTTACGTAAGGAAATTGGGCAAAGCTTGCGTAAGGACCGAGAAGCCTGGTGGTCGAGCGTGCTAATGAGCTGGAAGCAGCAGCTGCATCTGGTAACTACCGGAAGCTCTTCCAGCTCATCCGAGCCACTGGCAGCAAGAAGTCTGGTGTGAGTGAAACAATCTGCGAGGATGATGGGATGCCAATCACTAACATCCATCGACGTCTTGGACGATGGGCAGAATTTTTCGAAGGGCAGTTCAACTGGCCTGCTGCTCCGGCAACATCGGTCAGACTGTCCTGCCCTCCATGGCCGGTGACGACTGATCCACCAAACGAGGAGGAAGTCCGCAAGGAACTCCAACTCTTGAAGCGTTACAAATCACCTGGCCCAGATGACTTACCTCCGGCTCTTTTTAAAGATGGTGGTGACTTTTTGACTAAGGAATTGACGACGTTGTTTACAAAGGTTTGGGAACTAGAGAGTGTACCAACGTCATGGAATGAGTCGATAGTTGTCCCTATCTTTAAAAAGGGTTCACGTCGTTCCTGTAACAACTATCGGGGGATAAGTCTACTTCCGATTGCGTCCAAGCTATTGGCTTCCGTCATACTTCGTAGGTTGTTCAAAACCCGAGAAAGATTGACTCGCGAGGAGCAGGCTGGGTTTCGTTCTGGTCGAGGATGTATTGATCATATCTTCACCCTCCGCCAAATGTTAGAACACCGCCATACTTATCAAAGGCCAACAATCGTAGTGTTTCTTGACATCAGGGCTGCCTTCGATTCGTTGGACAGGACTGTTCTCTGGGATTGTCTATTGAAGAAGGGTGTGCCTGAGAAGTTTATTAACATCCTAAAAGCCCTATATAAAAACACCTCAGGCAGAGTGAGGGCATACAACCACCTCTCTCCATTGTTCCATTCGAGCAGTGGGGTTAGGCAGGGTTGCCCAATCTCACCATTCCTCTTCAACTTTGCCATCGATGACATTCTGGAAACAGCTCTGATGAATGTAAGTAATGGTGGTGTGGATCTGTTGCCTGGAGAAAGACTTCTCGACCTTGAGTATGCGGACGATATTGTCTTACTGTGCGATAATGCCCAAGGCATGCAATCCGCACTTAATCAGTTGGCAATCAGTGTCCGTAGGTATGGTATGTGCTTTGCACCTTCGAAGTGCAAAGTACTTCTACAAGACTGGCAGGATTCTAATCCTGTACTCACCCTGGATGGTGAGCAGATAGACGTAGTTGAGAAGTTCGTGTATCTGGGTAGCTGCATAAGTGCTGGTGGGGGTGTGAGTGATGAGATCAATGCACGAATAGTGAAAGCCAGAGCGGCTTATGCCAATCTGGGCCACCTTTGGCGCCTTCGTGATGTTAGTCTGGCTGTAAAAGGTCGGATCTACAACGCGTCGGTGAGAGCAGTTTTGCTCTATGCTTGTGAAACCTGGCCTCTCCGAGTTGAGGACGTTAGACGACTCTCTGTGTTCGATCATCGCTGTCTCCGAAGGATTGCTGACATTCAGTGGCAACACCATGTCAGTAATGCAGAGGTTCGGCATCGTGTGTTCGGGCACAGAGATGATAATTCAATTGGTGTCACCATCTTGAAACACCGACTTCGGTGGCTTGGACATGTTCTCCGAATGTCGTCCCAGAGAATTCCACGTCGTGCATTATTTGCCGACTCTGGGACTGGTTGGAAGAAGCGGAGAGGTGGTCAGTGCATGACATGGTGTCGTGGCATGAAAGAAAGCTGCAAAGGACTGGCTTGTGTTGGTCCTTCACGACTCCCTGGTTGGGGTCTGAGAGATGGTGCTACACAGTGGCTAGAGACGTTATCAGATATGGCTCAGAATAGAAGCCAGTGGCGATCCTGCTGTAACCTTCTTTTACTTTCTTCATAAAAAAGAATTGGTATCTTCCTTAACTGAAGGGTTTCTTCTGATTGTACCTTTCCGTTCATCCATTATTACCACGATTATTATTACACTACCTTACACCAATCCCTTCCTTATTGTTCTTTATTACCCTCTTCGCCTTTTTTTTCATTTTCTCTAAATTCTCATTGTTTTGTGTGGCGCATATATATTTGGCGTTCTCTTGTACCAATATTCATGTGTTCAAATAAAATAAAATAAAATTCCTGCATATACAGCAAACAAATTACGACGCTGGGCTATTACATTACTTACTTATGATTTCGAAATTGTATGTAAATCAACAAAAACGTTTGGACCAGCTGATGTTTTATCTCGACTAATTACGAGTCAGAAGCAGGAAAGTGAAGATCCTATTATTTCAACGATATCGTTGGGAGAAGATATTCATCAAATACAAGTTGATATAAAAGCAATACTGTTATCCGCTGAAGATATTAAACGCTATACTTAAGAAGACGACGAGCTGAAGCGGATTATTAGTTATCTCGAACATAGTTGGCCCGCTCACACAGACAACAAGAACACTGAGCAGTATGTTTACCGAAAAAAATTCCCTATCACTTGTGGACGGGTGCCTGGTGTTTGGAGATTGAGTAGTTGTACCCACAAGCTTACTTCGTAAGGTGATATTAGAGCTGCATGCTGCTCACTCAGTGGTACCACGGATGAAAGCACTTGCACGTGGCTATGTATACTGGCCGAATATTGATACTCAGATCGAATAATATGTTGCGAGATGTTCCGCATGTGTGAGAGCTATCAAAACCCCTCGGAAGACGGAAATGCAGAGTTGGGGAACACCAACAAATCCGTGGTCGAGAGTGCATGTGGATTTCGCCGGTCCCGTAAACAAGAAACAGTTCTTGGTGATCGTCGATGCCTTCTCCAAATGGCCAGAAGTCCATTACATGAAGTCTGTCTCGACAAAAGCTACTGTGGGAAAACTGAGACAAACATCCGGCTACTTTGAGTGTCCAGATATATTGGTGTTGAATAATGGACCACAATTTATCCCTGTCGAATTTTCGAAGTTCTGCATCGGCAATGCCGTTAGGCATATCAAGACACCTCCATAGTCTAACGGTTTAGTCGAGAGGTTCGTGGACATGTTTAAAAGAGCAATGTTTAAAGCCGAGGGAGGAGATTTCTACTAACCTACAGCGCAACACGCGACCCAGCAACAAATAATCAGGAATGTCCGGCAGAAGCAATTTTGGAGGAGAAATTAGAATACCTAGAGAACAAATGAAACTAAAACCTAGAACCAACCTCTGCAAGAATAAACGAATGGAACGGTAATTCAACAACAGACAGTGCATTAGCCAGAGCGTTCAGCGTGGGACAAACGGTAATAGCAAGAGACTTCCTGGGAGTAAAGCCAACCTGAAAGTTCGGCATCATAATCCGAATAAAAGGAAAGTCATCGATGAAGTAAAAGCCGACAACAGATATGGGTGTGACACGCAAACCAGATACAACCAACCAGACAAGAATGGGAGACAGGGAGTGATATAAAGCCGGGTATACCGTAGTGAACGAGAACACAGGCGGGGACAAACAAATGTATTTGAACACAAATTTACAGAATCTGTTAGGAAAATCTGAGAACCATATAGTAAATACTTAACTGTTTCTTCGTTTCCGCACCAATAACTCTCTGTTCTCGTTCTCGCCTCTTCGATCTTCTCAATCTTCTGCAGCCAGGTATTCCAATTTCGATCGGTGACACATCCTACTTATATCGGTTATCAGTAGAACACAAACTATTACAGATTTATAGTGGAAAAGTTCTGTGTAAAAAAATACATTTAAATAATAAGCTTTGTGTAGGAGAGATTTATATTGTCACAAAAAGAATATATACACGAAAGTTATTTGATAAACTAAGTGATCAATTATAAATATTAACATGTTGGTCGTGTGTGAATACAGGTAAAATGAAAGGGAATTCTAAAACATTTCATGTATTATGGTTGTTAGTACAATGAAATATATTTTTGAGGAAAATAAAAACTATAAATGCAAAAACCCTGAAATATTGGATGAATCAATATAATGCGGTATGTATGTATAATGGTGATGATAAAAATATAACTTCCTTACGAGTACGTATAATAAACTATGCGTGTACCTCTGCTCATAGGTGATTGATAGAATTATGGAAAGTCATATAATAGAACTATCGACAAATCATCGTAAACAGTTTTTAGTCATTCCTGAAGAGAATAAGTTTACAAATAAACAACTAAGATCATTTCAATTTGTTTAGTATAAATTGGATTCAGTTAGTTCATCTTCATCATCATCTACGAGTGAATCACTGAAAAAAAAAACAATGAATGACAAGTGAAGTAATGTTTAGGATTAGACTAATTAAAGAAAATAATCCGCTTTACAGACAATTACTGTAGTCTATATTTTCCATTGGTACTTTGACAAAAGCACAAACAACAGTTTTGATGTGTACACGTTGATAAGATGAGTGGTTTCTAATTAGAATTCTTTCGTTGTTCGTATAAACGAAATCTATGTCCCAAAATAAATTAAATTTGAGGGTCATCGAGTCAGACAATACCGTTTCATACATTTGATAAATATGCGTTAATTGGAGACAAACAGTTGTTAGTAGGTATTTACAGAGAGAGATAATCAATAATAAGATCGAATATTAAAAGTTGCACCATAATTTCTTCATGACTGATTATTCCGATAACTAATGTTTCGGAAACTTTCAGATTTTAGGTTGCTTGTAAGCAAGTACTTAATAGCTTTAGTCACAGTTTCCCAATTCCCACAAATTATAGCCACAAAATAAATAGACAGAGTATAAAAACAGATATCGAAACGCATCAACCAAGTATTTCAGAGCCGTTAAGTTGCAAAAAAGGAGTGTACATGTTGTGAACCATTTAAACTCATTTTGAGACTTGAAACAGAATTATATTCACACAACTCTCATCACATGAAAACTGATGATTCAGCCCACAGGTACTAAAAGAGTGGGCTTAAAAATGACTTCACTCTCTCGCCCTATATATATATATATATATATATATATATATATATATAATATATAACTGGACTCTTACTTTCGCTGATAACGAAATCCTGAAAATTAATGGTAAGTATGACAATATCTTCAAATGGAACATCGAGCAGTATACAATAGACAGAGTACAATTCGAAAATGCGCCTATATTTCGTACACAAGAATTTACAGATAACACACAAAAATAGGTTATACTAATGACTGATTTCTCGGTCATTACCATACATTGTATGCGACCTCCGAAATTTATAAAGTAGGTTTTCATTTCAAGAAATCATGGGTTCTTTGTTTCGATGTGTTGGCGACTTAATGGTAGAACAGCATTAAAAATAATTCGAGCTAAGAAAACAGACATACTAAACTAGTCTTGTATCGAATGCAAATCATGGAGGATCCTAATCAAGAAATAAAACTACAATATTATACAAATAAAGTAAACAATTACCAGTCAACTGTGTTATCAGAATACTGACGGTAAGAAGCCAAGACATCCATACTACTATTCTGTTATTTGAAATGTCGACAGCTTTTAATAAAACAAATCCTTGGAATAATTCGAGTAAACAGTTTGTGTTTATTGATAGCTAACCAGAATTTACGTGTACCTACTACCACGAACACACAGCTAATATCCATATCGAACAAAGAACGAAACGATACTAAACTTCTAATGAGTCTCCGATACTAGGATAAGTTAACCGAAAAACGCCCCCGAAAGCCCTGGTACGGCCGAGAGTGGGGAGAGTCCGCTCTCCCTCTCGAAATACTCTCACACGGCCGCGCGTATACAGCCTCTGCCAGGGAAGTCCTACTCATTGCCTTCTCGTGGCGGGGGTGTTGTTTACGAAAATGAGAGGACGAAAAGCGAATGTCCGGCGCTTTAACCGGATCACAAACCAATGGTGCACATGGGCTCCAGTATCCTGCGGGAACAAATGGCGTATGAACCAATCGTTGGTCACCGGCTACCATGGGATTGCATCTCCTTACGATGCTCCACTGCCTTGTGGGTTAGACCTTTAGGTCAAAGGCTCGGGGTGTGGCCCCCTAAGATAACCACCTGCTTCGGTTTGGGCACCCGGGCAGTATCACAGCCCACACACAAACGATGAACTCTATGTCTATGGCAACTACTTTTCTCGCTCCGAAAAACAATCAATTGATTCAAATAATTATCATTACTATTATTGTCATTATTAATACATTATTATTATTACTATTGTTGTCATTATTATTGTTATTATTATTATTTTCCACATTATTCACCCTCTTTTATACTTATACAGCGGCTCGTCTTTGGTGGAAATCCGACTGTATCTAAACGTTCTCGAGTCACTGTCCGGTTGAAAATTGTATGTTACCACCGAATATAGGTACTGAAGCAGTTTTTCTGAAACCACGTGCACCATTCAAACTGGCTGCCTTCAACGTTCGCACACTTATGCAGGTCGGACAACAGATAGGGCTGGCTATGTCTTTGGAAAGTCTTAATATTGATGTTTGTTGTCTATCCGAGACCCGTATTCAAGACTCTGGCGAAGTACTACAAATTCGATCTCCATCTGTCGCTTCGAAAAGCTTGTTTTACGTGCGCTTATCCGGGGACCCTGTGGCATCTTCGTCTGGTCTTGCTGGCGTTGGTGTCGCACTAAGCGCTAGAGCTGAGGCAGCACTAGTCGATTGGATCCCCATTAACAGTCGGTTATGTGCTGTTAGATTAGAAAGTTCCATCAAAGTGAGAAGAAATCGGCGTGAGAAACGATGTCTTTTCGTCATCTCCGCCTATGCCCCGACAGATTGCAGCCCGGATGCAATCAAGGATGAGTTTTACCACCAGTTATCTGTTCTTCTCCAGAAAGTGCGTTCGACAGATATTGTAGTACTAGCCGGAGACTTGAATGCTCAGGTCGGGCGTCTAGGCACAGAAGAGAGTCGTTTAGGTGGCCGATGGGGACTCGTTGGTCGCAGGTCAGATAACGGGGACCGTCTACTGCAACTTTGCACAGACCACAACCTGTTTCTGGCTAGCACTAACTTTCGGCACAGTCATCGCCGATGTGCCACCTGGCGTCCTCCCTCTGCATCTCAAGCCTGGACTCAGATTGATCACATCGCGATCAGCTACCGCTGGCGTGGTTGTGTACAAGACTGCCGCTCCTTTTGGAGTACCTATCTGGACTCTGACCATGCCTTGGTCTGCGCCAATCTTGCCTTACTTTTCAGTGGACAACGAAGTGACCGCCATCAACGGATTGATGTTAGCAAGCTGGTTGCAACTTCTGTTGCAAGTAAGTATCGAACCGAGCTAGCCTCTAGGCTAGCTACCACTCCACCGAAAAGTATAGATGAGCATTGGTTGCAATTGCATGACGCCATGAAAATGGCGGGAACAGTCAGTTGTGGGTTTGCGAAACGTCCCGCTTTTAAGCACTGGGTTTCTTCTGGTTCCTTACAACTCATTGAAGCCCGTCGGTCTACTCCGGGTGACCGTGAGTTTGACCATAAACGAAGGATGTTACGTAAGGAAATTGGGCAAAGCTTGCGTAAGGACCGAGAAGCCTGGTGGTCGAGTGTGCTAATGAGCTGGAAGCAGCAGCTGCATCTGGTAACTACCGGAAGCTCTTCCAGCTCATCCGAGCCACTGGCAGCAAGAAGTCTGGTGTGAGTGAAACAATCTGCGAGGATGATGGGATGCCAATCACTAACATCCATCGACGTCTTGGACGATGGGCAGAATTTTTCGAAGGGCAGTTCAACTGGCCTGCTGCTCCGGCAACATCGGTCAGACTGTCCTGCCCTCCATGGCCGGTGACGACTGATCCACCAAACGAGGAGGAAGTCCGCAAGGAACTCCAACTCTTGAAGCGTTACAAATCACCTGGCCCAGATGACTTACCTCCGGCTCTTTTTAAAGATGGTGGTGACTTTTTGACTAAGGAATTGACGACGTTGTTTACAAAGGTTTGGGAACTAGAGAGTGTACCAACGTCATGGAATGAGTCGATAGTTGTCCCTATCTTTAAAAAGGGTTCACGTCGTTCCTGTAACAACTATCGGGGGATAAGTCTACTTCCGATTGCGTCCAAGCTATTGGCTTCCGTCATACTTCGTAGGTTGTTCAAAACCCGAGAAAGATTGACTCGCGAGGAGCAGGCTGGGTTTCGTTCTGGTCGAGGATGTATTGATCATATCTTCACCCTCCGCCAAATGTTAGAACACCGCCATACTTATCAAAGGCCAACAATCGTAGTGTTTCTTGACATCAGGGCTGCCTTCGATTCGTTGGACAGGACTGTTCTCTGGGATTGTCTATTGAAGAAGGGTGTGCCTGAGAAGTTTATTAACATCCTAAAAGCCCTATATAAAAACACCTCAGGCAGAGTGAGGGCATACAACCACCTCTCTCCATTGTTCCATTCGAGCAGTGGGGTTAGGCAGGGTTGCCCAATCTCACCATTCCTCTTCAACTTTGCCATCGATGACATTCTGGAAACAGCTCTGATGAATGTAAGTAATGGTGGTGTGGATCTGTTGCCTGGAGAAAGACTTCTCGACCTTGAGTATGCGGACGATATTGTCTTACTGTGCGATAATGCCCAAGGCATGCAATCCGCACTTAATCAGTTGGCAATCAGTGTCCGTAGGTATGGTATGTGCTTTGCACCTTCGAAGTGCAAAGTACTTCTACAAGACTGGCAGGATTCCAATCCTGTACTCACCCTGGATGGTGAGCAGATAGACGTAGTTGAGAAGTTCGTGTATCTGGGTAGCTGCATAAGTGCTGGTGGGGTGTGAGTGATGAGATCAATGCACGAATAGTGAAAGCCAGAGCGGCTTATGCCAATCTGGGCCACCTTTGGCGCCTTCGTGATGTTAGTCTGGCTGTAAAAGGTCGGATCTACAACGCGTCGGTGAGAGCAGTTTTGCTCTATGCTTGTGAAACCTGGCCTCTCCGAGTTGAGGACGTTAGACGACTCTCTGTGTTCGATCATCGCTGTCTCCGAAGGATTGCTGACATTCAGTGGCAACACCATGTCAGTAATGCAGAGGTTCGGCATCGTGTGTTCGGGCACAGAGATGATAATTCAATTGGTGTCACCATCTTGAAACACCGACTTCGGTGGCTTGGACATGTTCTCCGAATGTCGTCCCAGAGAATTCCACGTCGTGCATTATTTGCCGACTCTGGGACTGGTTGGAAGAAGCGGAGAGGTGGTCAGTGCATGACATGGTGTCGTGGCATGAAAGAAAGCTGCAAAGGACTGGCTTGTGTTGGTCCTTCACGACTCCCTGGTTGGGGTCTGAGAGATGGTGCTACACAGTGGCTAGAGACGTTATCAGATATGGCTCAGAATAGAAGCCAATGGCGATCCTGCTGTAACCTTCTTTTACTTTCTTCATAAAAGGTGGTTGTGTCTCCCTTACCTGAAAGGTTTCTTCCGATTGTACGTTTGCGTTCCCTGAATACTAGCACATTACCTTACACCAATCTCTTCGTTATTGTTCTCTCTTTTTTTTGTTGCGCTCCTTAGCTTTTTTTTTCTTTCTTTGTATTCCTCTCGAATTTTCATTGTTTTGTGTGGCGCATATATATTGGCGCTCTCTTGTACCAATATTCATGTGTCCAAATAAATAATAACCGAAAAACAGCAGTTAATTGCATCATTTTTAAACGAATAGTATATTTTCTGTAGTTAATAGTGATTAAGACAAATATAGATACAAGACCTGATGCGAATTAAACTTATGACAACAGTGAAAATTTGAACAAAAAATAATAGAAAATAATTTGGTTCCCTATTTTTATCCACTACAGTAAAAAATAAGATATGCTTACTTTAATACACGAAGAGAAAAGAATAATACACGACGTAAGCATCGATTATGAAAAAAATAATTGAAAGATGCTAAACATCCTGAGCTGTATGGATCGGATAGATGATCAGGACGATAACTAAACCAAAAGAGAAGAACGATAAAACTAAAATTAGTGTAGATATTATTCATTCAGTAAAGTCGGCAGGATCTAAACTTCATGACATGAAAATAAAATGACACCATCATATTAAAGTTCTTAGGAAACATTTACCTATATATGCGACATTGAGCAGGCACAATTTCATCACCGATGACTTTCAAAGATGAGGTGCTAGATCTTCGTATTTATCCACATAAATGGAACAGAACCGAGAAATGTAATGTTTTACAAGCTGACGAAATGAAAGTGAAGATAATCATGAGGATATTAAAGAAATTAGTAAAATTGAGATTGCTGAGCCAATATATACATAAATATGATCTTTGAACAGTAAGTAACGGCTACACTATAGAAGAGGAGTTTTTGAAGGAACTACAACTTTTAAACCACCATAAGTCGCCAGGCCCAGATGGCGTACCCCACTTCCTCCCCCCCACGGATGGAGGCAAACTTCTGGCCAGAGATCTTACTAGTTAAATTGGGAAGATTATGGAAGTAAACAGTTCTGTAACCTTGCAATGAAGCGACTGCCGCCCCCGCCACTTCTGGAATGGACTACGTAAAGCATTTGAAAATGGTTAGTGTATGAGTATTCTCACAAACTGCGAACTACTTAATTTGTGACAAGACTCTGTGGTCTAAAAGGTAGTTGCATGGGACTGACATATGTTAGTTCATCGCAACTCCCTAAGTGGGCTCTTATAGGACATGTAGCTGCTCAGTGGCTTGAGGCGTTGGTATAAGGAACAGAAGCTAGTGATGATCATTCTGCAGCCTCTAAATGCATTCTTTATGGAAGATAAACTATGTTAGATGAACGATATCTCTCATCGCCATTTTCTTAGTTTAGCTATATCATTTAATCAATACAATTATTGTCAATTTATTTAGACTGTATAATCTTTACAATAATATTACTCCATCTTGTGTGGTGCGTTGTTTTGGCACTCTAATGTGTTAAAATATGTATTAATTAAATCGTTAAAATATCTGGAACGACGTTAAGAAAATAATCGTTGCTGTTTAGTGAACAACAAGCATATTTGTCTTAATTAAGTGGTCCATGAATTTAATCTTAAAGTTTTGATGCTTTTTATAAGCTTATGTGAGCACAAAACTACGATTAGGCCAATAATAAAACATAGCCAACCCAACTTTTTTAATTCTTATTTGGAACTATATTATTGCTTATTGTCAATTCTATCAATTAGAATGTTGAGTATAAGTCAGTCAGTCAGTCAGCTACAACGTAGGACCAGGCACATGTATGCATCGGCCCAGGTTGCCATACCTCATTAGCACAGCAAGATGAACACTGGATTCATAGGAGTGGTTAGGTCAAAGGTGGTAATATATAGGAGAAAGATTGCAATAAGGATATAGTATAGGAAGAAAGAATTAGTTCGTAGAAAGAAAGATGTGAAGTGATCTTAATCTCTTAGTTTAAGAGAAGACAGAGAGTGTATACACCGACGCCATTGTGATCGATTCTGAGCCATGTCACCAAGGGTCTCCAACCATTGGTTACGAAAGTCACGCGGACCCCAACCAAGTAGTCTGCATCTACCAACATGGCTCAGACTAGAAGTTAGTGACTTCAGGCACTGATGCCACGTTTTGGTTTGGCCGCCCCTAACTTTCTTCCAACCATCCCCTACACCGGTTAGCATTGCACGTCGCGGTAATCGGTGTTCAGGCATACGTAATACGTGGCCCAACCATCTCAGTCGATGAAGATTCATAACCTCATCAACTGATTTACCATCATTCCCTAATACCCTGCGTCTAACCTCACTATTACTTACCCGGTGATCCCAGCAGATGCCAGCAATATTTCTAAGGCATCTGTGGTCAAATACTAGTAGCTTACGGGTGTCTTCTACTCTTAAGGGCCATGTTTCGCTGCCGTAAATTAAAACAGAACGGACAGCCGCGCAGTATACTCGTCCTTTTATTGATAGACGGATATCTCGCCTCCGCCAAAGGTGACGTAAGTTGGCAAAAGCCAAACGAGCTTTACGAATCCGTGCTGAGATTTCGTCAGACACCAACCCATTAGGGCTGATCAGACTTCCAAGATAAGTGAAGTTGTCAACTCGTTCGACTACTTCACTCCCTATCCTTAGTTCAGGTGTTGACGCAGACCAGTCCTGAAGCAACAACTTGCATTTAGAGGGAGAGAAGCGCATCCCAAACATTCTGGCATTGTTGCTTAGTGCTACCAGAAGACTCTGCATTTTGTCAGCGTCTTCACCAAACAGGACTATGTCATCTGCGTATTCTAAGTCGATAAGTGGACCTCCTGGAAGGAGATCAATACCCGAGAATTCAGTCGACGAGAGTGTTATTTCCATCAATAGGTCTATGATGAAGTTAAACAAAAATGGAGAAAGTGGGCAGCCTTGACGGACACCACTTGAGGTTGCAAAGTAGATGACAGTTCGCCATAAGCCCTGACTCGACTAGTAGTGTTCGAGTAAAGAGCCTTCACAAGGTTTATGTACTTCTGAGGTACGCCTTTCAATGACAGACACTGCCACAGAGTCTCGCGGTCTACAGAGTCAAATGCTGCTTTTAAGTCAAGAAAGACCACCATCGTCGGACGCCGATAGGTATGCCTGTGTTCTAGAACCTGACGAATGGTGAATATGTGGTCGATGCAGCCACGACCAGGTCTAAAGCCAGCTTGGTTCTCTCGTGTTTGTAGTTCACGAGTCTTAGTTAGGCGTTTGATAATTATCGAGGCCAGTATTTTAGATACTATGTTTGTTAAACTAATCCCTCTGTGGTTGTCACAGGATGATTTTGACCCTTTCTTATATATTGGGACGATAAGTGATTGCGACCAGTCAGATGGGATAACGTCTAACTCCCAGATTTTAGCTAAAATATTAGTCAACCTAATCGCTAAAATTGGACCACCATCCTTAAAGACTTCTGGAGCCAATCCATCTGGACCAGCTGCCCTTCCTCGTTTCAGATTAACTATAGCCTTCTCAACTTCAGCAAGAGTTGGGGGACCTACTTCAATGTTCCATTCACTTGTCTGGGAATGGAGGGTAGTTGTAGAGTAGCTGAAGGCCAGCTGAACTGTTCTCTAAAATGTTCCGCCCATCGTTCTAAACGTCTGGACTGGGAGCAGATGAGAGTATCATCTTTTTCCGAAATAATCTCACTTACACTTGACTTATTAATTCCAGTTTCTTTTATTAGTCTGTAAAGCTGTCTTGTGTTCCCTATAGTCGCCGCCTTTTCCATCTCTTTTGCTTTCGTTACCCACCACTGCTCACGGTCGTTCCTTAGACTTTTTCTTAACCTAGATCTGATTTGTTTACGCTCTTCATCATGTTCAGAACCTGATGGGACGAGTTTGCGAGAATCCATCAGTGTGACAGACCTTGAAGAAATCCACTGGTTCCTTGTAACTCTGTGGTTTAAGTCACTAATAGATGTCACTGCTGTTTCCACAGCTGCTTGTATGTCCTTCCAAGCAACATCTGGGTCAGCCTCGTCTTCACAACTACCTAAGTGTGACCTCAGTTGTTCCTGGAACCTACTTTTGGTTTTCTCGTTACTCAACTCAGTTCTAATGGGTCTTTTTAATGTGGCTTTTTTGCGTCCATTGAGGCGCAAGCAGATGCGTGCCCGTATTAGGGCATGGTCGGAGTCCAAGCAGGTACTCCAGAATGAGCGACAATCTTCTACCGACCCTCTCCAACGATGACTGATGGCAATATGGTCTATTTGAGTCCATCGTTGGTTTGGTGTAGGGGGTCGCCATGTTAGACGATGTCTCTCCTTATGCTTAAAATTTGTGTTTGCTAAAAATAAACGATTGTCTGAGCATAGCTGCAGCAGACGATCACCATTATCTGTTCGCTGTGTCGGAATACTAAAATATCCACCTAAATGCCTTTCTGTTTGGTTTAAACTGCCTATCTGAGCATTAAAATCACCTGCTACGAGTACTATGTCTGAGCGTTTAGCTTTCTGAAGAAGTTCGGATAGCTTTCTGTAAAATTCATCTTTCACTTCATCTGAGCTGCAGTCAGTGGGAGCGTAGGCAGAAACGACAAAAAGGCAACGACGTGTGTCCCTATCCTTCCGAGTTCTTACGTAGCCGTTCAGCCGAACAGCACATAGACGACTGTTGACGGGGATCCACTCTAGCAGTGCTTGTTCGGCCCTTATGCTTAGTGCTATGCCTACACCTGCCAGTCCACGAGAACTTGCCATCGGGTCACCAGACACACGAAGGGTGTATCTCGTTGGCTCTCCGTCTTGCCGAGGTGAGGTCAAGTGAATGACCACACTGGAATCCTGTATGCGTGTTTCGGAGACACAGCATACATCAATGGAAAGAGACTCTAGGGTTTTAGCCAAGGAAGCCTGCTGACCGATTTGACATAGGGTGCGTACGTTGAAGGCTCCAATGTGTAGTTTGGAGCGAGGTTTCAGTAGACCTGGGACAGTGTTTTGCGCACTAGAATCGTTGGCTACGGTGACACTTGAGGTGGAAGCCGAGAGAGGAAATACAGAGTTGAAAGTCGATGTAGGAGGAATAATAGGAATTGAAGAAGGAGGTTGATTATGAATACAGTGGACTTGAGTGCTGTTAGAAGTATGAGGGCGGTTATCACTTCCCGGTTGCCCACACCGTGGAAGGGTTGTTCTGGAGGTACCTGAAAAGGAAATTGGATTAAAGGTGGTCTTAGTGAACTGAGAGCGTGACCGCAGTGCCCAAGGGACAACTGCTTGAGGTCGGTCACACACGACCTTGTTATGGGTAATTTTTGTGTTAGCTCCGTACTTATTGAGACCTTACCGCCGGAGACGGATATCCGTGGGATAAGGCGAGGTGTGCATTTTTAGGGTCGACCTTTTCTAACCCCACCCCTCCTTGTGGGAAGGCAGCATCGCTGTCATGCTGGTTGTCTGAAGGAAACACCTTACTGCTGTCACACCTCTGTACAGTCAGCAGTACGACTTCGCCTTCGGACCTTGGGTTTGTTGCTTTTAGTCTTACCGCTCTTCAACCGACCTGTCTGACATGGTAGGACCTTGAGGAACGGTTGTTCCAGCCAGTATAGCTCGGTTGCTTCATCACGATAGGCAAGCCCGACCACCACGTCAAGGTAGCAACAACGGTCGGGATGTTGAGTATAAAAAAATTCACGAAGTTATAGCACGCGCTTTTTATCACATATTTCAAACGAACAATATATAGCTGAATTCTTACGGCTACATGTAACAAAATCCTGGAGTACAGTGTTAAAATATAGTTACCAACTGGCTGAAAGATAAGTAATCCCAAACATCTATTAAATGAAGTCTGTAGAAAGGATTTTTACTTTTGTTTAGATGGAAGTGTATTCTCAACTGAATGTCGATGACAAAATGCCCAATAGCTTACCAGTCAACATTCATACATAGGAATTAATACGAATAGTTTCAAGTATTACATTTCCAGATGCTGGCATTGTTCATAAGTTGTCTTGAAAAAATAGGAAATTTCTTAGTGGAAAACCTCATCTAACAGTGTTTAAATGATTCAGAGAAACGCAGTTCACTCCTTATCCTATAAAACTAATACGAAGAGTTACAAAACCAGTTGGGAGTATGGTGTCATGCATGAAAAGTTGAGACGAAATTCACTAACAGCGTACCCATAGTTCAGGTTCCAAACAAAATTCATCACTTCTAGCAGTAAGGAAATCATAGGCAGGGCCAAAACAACTATTTAATGTACTCATTAAACAGAACAAATCTTTGGTTGATAGAGCTGAGGTTGGAAACTTTGGAGACGGTGATTCTGAAGTACTATCATTCAAACATATAGATGTTTCAGATCGAGTACGTTTTCTTCCGCTGCATACATTTCTGGGAGGGGAGAGGCTGGAAGAATTCTGTCAAATTAATCAGGAATCAAGAAATTAAAATAAATATAAGAACTATGAACAACCTCAAAACAATGGCATTATTGATCGCTCAACGATCACTGAATGTAAACAGGTAACACATTTAAATAATTATTTTAAGAACAAGCGCGTACTACATGCATTCTTAACTAATATTTAACAGACTGTACGGACCAATTTATTTTATAACACAAGTATGTTTGGGTTCCAACAGTTTCCTTAGTGTTGTAAATAGATCTTTATTTCAGAGTCTGGATATTTATTTCCGAGATAAAACATGCTATTGAATTTCCAGTATAATAAGGTAATAAACCAGTAATCTTGTGATGAACCACATCTACACTTAAATATCAAACTAAAACTATGAATAACTGCAAGTAGTCCGAGATGAATGGACCGTGATTTGAAGGTAAGGACTGCTTAGTTGCACCTACTTTGTTAGTTTATCCATTTTAAACGGAAATCTCGTACTTACTTAGATTATCATCCAAAGATGTTTGTAATTTCAAGTTACTAAATAGTAGCTGGATTTCGTCTCGTTGCTCACCTTCGGCCTTCCCGACATGGTTGAACCTCGGTCGGTATAGCCCTCAGGATCACTGCAACACACAAGCCCGTCTACCACGCCAAGGTACCAGCCAACAGACGGGTCGGTTCTAGACTGTGAACACCTACACAACTAGTAATTACAAGCACTATTACATCTTCAAATAATAAGAGATATTTAAAGCCAATGAGTATAAGGCAGTAACAAATCCCTGAAAGTAAAATCCTATATGAATATAAAGTTGGTTATTTTTCTATTTTCCCGGTTTTTGGCGTAACGTAATTATATGTTAGAGTAATATTATTACTGTACATAAGTCGTATTTACTTGACTTTGCGAAGCTAAAATGACAAGCAGATTATGAAAAAACACGTGGATAGAAATAAAGAGCAACTGGGACGGAAATAATCCGCAAGATGGTAGCATTAAGCGTAAAATTTTAGTCAAGTACTCCGTAAACTTCTACTGCTAACCCAGAGAGATGCACCAACTCTATAAAAGCATACAATGAGAACTCAATCAAATGATACGAGGACACAGAGAGTAATGAAAAAAAATTATGAGAAAAAACAAGTGACCGGTGGTGACTGATCCTGGATGATACTCATCCGAATTGTTTCGGGATCGACCACTTGTCCAGTCATTTCATACAAATCCCGTAGAGTTTGCGAGGACCCAAGGTAAAGGGCAGGAGATTCTTGATTTTCATCACTATTTAAACGAGAAACTAATTCTTTATATTGACGTTTCTCTTCTGAAACCATTTTGCATGAATAGCTTTCTAGCCTAGAAGAGCAAAGTAATTAAAACAACACATCAGATACATAAACAATTTGAGGTAAGCTTCGGTATGTAAGACTAAAAAGTAAACAAAAGTTATGCGAATGTTTGTAAATTTGGTTCATAAAGATAGGATTAGAACGAGAAATAAAACTCAAATCATAAACTGCATACACGTCCGGAAACTAGTGTGAGTTTAGCAATTGACTGAAAGAAACAAACTAGATAACGAGTTGAGTTTATAACCCGACAGGTCGTAATTTAGCTAGTATACATAGTCACAGCTTTAATATGAAAATAAAAACCCAATTAAAAGGGTTTCGTTTCTTAAATCTCCCTGAAATAGTAATCCCAACGACTTCACTGAACCTTCAGAAGTTTCAGTTAAGGGGTTTATTGCCAAGGTCCATATTTACAGATCGGAATATCTAAACTCGCCTATCGAAGTAACAACGCTACAGAAAGCGATGGTTTTTTATTGGTGGTTTCAGTTTGTCAACCGGTATAAGCCACGAACTATTGACAAACTGAATTCTCATACAATCACCGCTCACAAACAAAGTGTATTTCTTTGCAATGATGAAATAGCTTACGCGACGATAAGACCAGTTTTTGTTGCGCGTATAAATAAACCTTGCCATACATTTTCTGAAGGCTGGAGTAATGCAGGAACGGTGATTTCATATAACTTTAGAAGACCTGAAAATACGAAGCGAAACAAACATACAGGCTAAAATCCGTGACATATACAAAAGCCAGTTATGAGTGTGGAGACCGAAATAAATGTGGATAAGTTTAAATCACTTTTTTGAAGAGTAGCTAACAGGACGGGTCTTCACAGAGACGTCACTGGTCAAATAGAAACAAACATAAAAAATCCGGAAGAAGGGATAAACGGGTGAGAAGTATAAAACATCCATTGAAAATATGTGTGAATTATAGGAAAAAGTAACAAGGTCCACCAACTTCTGAAATTTTCGCGAAAAATTACTCAAGTGTGGCTTTTTTCCTCAGAATCTCTTACAATTTTTATGTAACCGGGATTTTGTCCCAAAATTCACCAAGAATGGTAGCTTGGGGTGAAAATGTGTATAAAATATTATAAATCTTCATTGGGGGGTGCAGAAATCTGAGATTCTTTAAATTATTGACGTTAGAGTTGAGGTTGAATTAAACCAAAAATGATATCAGTCGGACAGAAAAGTAATAGCATCGAAAATCAACCAGTTGACTGGATATGAGAACAACCAATTTTCGAAGATTATCGGGAATCTTACACATTAATGGAGTAAAACTCACAAAACCTACATATCAAATAGGATAAATGAGGGTCTGATTTCTTTAATATATATAATAATTCGAGGAGACCGTGACAATTGTTCCCTAATAGTTAACTATTAGGGGAGAGTAGTATATATGTACATATGCAATCCATCAATTTGATGGATTAAACATATGAAAGAAGCTTTAAAACTTAGTGGGTTAAATTTAACACACCTGGCATCAATTTTATATCTTTTACTACCGTTACTTAATTGCGAACTCAAACCTTCCAAGCCAAATTGGTCTAACAGCTTCATCTTCCGACAATAAATTGAGCTCCACAGATCATAAGGCTACAAAGAAATTTCAATATCCAATATTTACTTGGTGATAGTACAAGTGTTTGCTATCAAATCTCGATGTTGTAGTGGTAAATAAATCCCCAAAATAAATAGCCCTGTAAGTTTTCGACATTGGATGCTGACCACGTGTTTTAGAGGACTCATCTAGCTGAAGGCGCTCGGTCAGGCATCCGCACCAGATCACGTGTGGTAACGCCGTGCTCAACATCAACCGCAATCGCTAGTCAGATTAGATCAGAGAATTCCGATATTTTGGTTATCGCCAAATACACTCTTCCGATCTCCTCGACTCTGTCTTTTGATTTCTCTGGGTGGTTACGAATTATATTAGGTGTTACTGGTAGAAGCGTTGTCAAACACTGAATATCTGTGACATCATCATTGGTGAGACTGACGTGATCTGGTACACCTAATTGCAACTGTGAGTCTTTCCCTTTTTGGGATTTTATATATTATTGCCTTATTTTTTATTTTTTATATATTGTGATGTTTTTTTCGTGTTTTTTCTTGGATACATATATATTTTTCCCCGTTCATTATCGTACGTCATATTTCATCATGACTGAACAGACACCTAAAGTACTCAAGCTTAAGACCTTGTCCCCGCCTTCGTTTCAACTGATGCCTTTCTGGTCCGACAACATCGAAGCCTGGTTCTGTTACGCAGAAGCCGACTTCCACGAGCACGGCGTGAACGACACACGTGCACAATTCCTCGCAGTAGTCAAGGCACCACCGCGGGAATTCAACAGGTACGTAACACCTAGTATGTTTACTAGTGATGTTTCTGAACCTTACGAAACCTTAAAGCCTTCGATTCTTAAACGAGGAGACCTAACCAATCGACAAAGGTTAGATCAACTCTTTAATAACATAGACCTGCAACACGGTTCTGCGACGGACATGTTGCAAAGGATGAGAGAGATTATAGGCCCAAGAACTTTCGACGAAGGTCTATTCAAAAACTTTTCTTGTCTAAACTTCCCCAACAGGTGCAAGCAGTTCTGGTCTCGTTCCAGAACAACGCCTTAGACGAACTGGCTGCATCTGCCGATCGTATCTTAGAAATTACGAAACCTTCTACTGCCGAGGTATTTTCAGTCAAAGAAAAGCCTCAAACGACTCAGAATGACATAACCGAGTTATGTCATACACTCACGCGTTATCTTAATCTTCGTAACGACCGTAATCGCTCACACAGCCCACGTACAAGCATTTCACGTAAGCGATCTGTCTCTAGACCACGAGAGACGGATAACCCCGACTGGTGCTGGTATCATAACCAGTATGGAAAGTTTTCCAGAAATTGCAGAAAACCCTGCAATTTTCCCAACACGAAACCGAATGACTCGATAAACAACTCGGGAAACTTCCAAGCCGGCACGCGTTAACGGCAACCGTAGCCGGCAAACATAGCCGTCTGTTATACGTCACAGATGTGACAACGAGAGTTCGCTACCTCGTCGACACTGGCGCAGAAGTTAGCGTTCTCCTAGCAAATCCTAACGACCGGCTTAACGAATCGACTCTAAACTTACAGGCGGCAAACGGAAAACCGATCGCTACGTATGGCAAAAGGTACGTTTACCTTAACGTGGGTTTACGCAAACCCATTCACTGGATTTTCGTTGTTGCAGATGTTTCTATGCCAATCAGTGGTGTGGATCTTCTACAACACCATAATCTGGTCATCGACACGCGCAAACGGAGGCTAGTAGACGGAAACACTAATTTATCCGTTTGCGTAACTTCTTTTTCTGGTTGCAGATTATCCTGGGATACAACAAACTCAACCGAAACTACCGTATGTAACCAGCAAAGTTACACATCACATCACGACTACAGGACCACCTGTATTCTCTAAAGCACAACGACCAGCTCCCGAAAAGCTACGGTTGGCGAAAAACGAGTTCGACCATATGATAGACTTAGGGATCATACGACCGTCAAGTAGCCCATATGCATCTCCGTTGCACATGGTCCCTAAAAAGGACAGCAACGATTGGCGTCCAACAGGCGACTATCGGCGATTGAACGCGAAAACCATTCCCGATCGTTACCCGTTGCCTCACATTTGTAGCGTGGAGTCGAGTTGAGGTTAACTATGAACACCGCTATAAAGAAACACGTGCCAAGTTAATCAGAAGGCGAAGGTTGGACGTAACCAAATAAATCCATAAAATCGCCGAGAAGCCAAATATCAGAAGACAGTTAATGGACCAAATCGAGATGTATTCGCTGGCGATCTCGTGGCATCGAAAGGATACCGAGATCGTGCCAGAATACAAGCTTGGTTACAGAACGTGACCGAATTCGCGCGAAGTTACAATCAAAGTGTGTGTATAAGAATGGAATCAAAATATAGCTGTCATTAGCACAGTCAAACAAAAGCACATTAAAACAAGCACTGGTGCAGTTGGTTATAATAATAATTGTTTCTATTAAACCGGTCGTGTTCTCATGATAAATGTGAGTCACTACACATTCACGATTTGACAGCTACCTTGAAAGGTACAACTGTCTTTTCGAAAATCGACTTGGTTAAAGCGTATAACCAAATCCCTATGGCTACTGACGACATACCGAAAACACCTATCATAACTCCCTTCGGACTCTATGAATTTTTGCGAATGCCTTTCGGTCTAAGGAACGCTGCTCAAACATTCCAAAGATTCATAGACGACGTTTTTCGAGGTCTCAACTTCGTACACGCGTATGTTGACGACTGTCTAATCGCAAGTCCGGACAGAGAAACACATCTCAAGCATCTGGACCTTGTTTTCGAACGATTACAAAAACATGGCATAACTGTAAACGTTCAGAAATGCCAATTTGGAACCGACTCGTTAGACTTTCTGGGACACACTATCGATGCTCAAGGTATCCGACCCCTTAGAACCAAAGTGGCGGCCATTCTGGATTACCCAGAACCGACCACCGTCAAGCAATTACGCACGTTCAACGGCCTGGTAAGTTTCTATAGACGTTTCATACCGAAATGCGCATTACTTATGAAACCTCTGACCGACCAACTTCGTGGAAATGCGAAATCCATTAATTTGGACGACACCGCACGAAAAGCATTCTCCACAGTTAAGGAACTGATTGCTAAAGCAACAATGCTCGCACATCAGGACACCCGAGCACCCATTAGCATCGCAGTAGACGCATCCGACTCGGCAATCGGAGGAGTCTTACAACAATGGGTTAACAACTCCTGGCAACCCTTGGCATTTTTCTCTAGAAGGTTGCTAGACACCGAATCGAGGTACAGCACATTCGGTAGGGAACTCCTAGCTATGTATTGTGCTGTACGGCATTTCCAACACTATATCGAAGGCCGTGAATTCACTCTTTTCACGGACCATAAACCGCTCACTTTCTCGTTAAGCTCTCCTTCTGACAAGTACTCTCCCCGTGAGTCTCGACAACTGGACTACATTTCGCAGTTTACTTCAGATATTCAACACATCTCTGGAGCAAACAATGTAGTTGCAGACGCTTTATCTCGCATAACTTCCTTGAACAGTTTCCAAGGAATCGACCTTCTTAAACTCGCCGAGCTTCAAAAAGAAGACACTGATCTTCAGCACGAGTTATCGTCCACAACACTTAAACTACGCATCAAACAGATGGGAACAGGTAAGGAAACCTTACTTTGTGACACATCTACAGGTAGGGATCGCCCAATCGTGCCGAAACATTATCGACGCAATGTCTTCAATACATTGCACAAACTTTCTCATCCAGGTGTTCGTGCAACCATCAAGCTTATAGCAGAACGATTTTGCTGGCCTGGCATGAATAAAGACGTGAGGGAGTGGGCACGCTCCTGTGTAAGCTGCCAAAAATCTAAGGTTATCAGACACAATAAATGTCCCTTAGGCTCGTTTAAAACTCCCGATGCTCGTTTCGACCATGTTCATCTGGATTTGGTAGGACCTTTACCAGATTCAAATGGATACTCTTACCTCTTAACCTGCGTAGACCGTTTCACTCGATGGCCAGAAGCAGTACCTATCAAGGACATCACTGCTGAAACAGTGGCCCGCACATTCGTCGAACGATGGGTAGCAAACTTCGGCTGCCCTTCAACCATCACTACAGACCGCGGACGTCAGTTTGAATCTGATCTTTTCCGTCGTCTGACCACACTTTTAGGAATCACTCGCTTCCGAACGACCGCCTACCACCCACAAGCAAACGGGTTGGTAGAACGCTTTCACCGACAACTAAAAGCTTCACTATCAGCTGCAAACGTTTCACAGTGGACCGACGCTCTTCCACTCGTCTTACTAGGTATCCGCAATGCAGTGAAAGCTGACATTGGATACACTGCGGCTCAACTCGTTTATGGAACGACACTTCGACTTCCAGGAGAATTCGTGGATCCTTCGTCCTCTTCAATGAACATGGATCTAACCTCCTACACGAACAGGCTTACAAACGCAATGCGTTCAGTTAAACCTGCTTCCACTCGACCTCAATCAACTGATGTTTTCGTTCAACCTGACTTACGATATAGTACACACGTTTTCGTTCGTCGAGACTCGCATCGACGACCATTCGAATCAGCATACGAAGGACCTTTCAAAGTTCTTCAACGTGAATCTAAGTACTATATAGTCGATAAGAACGGAACAAACGATAGCATCAGCATCGATCGCTTAAAAGCAGCGTATCTAGAGGGAAATCTTATTCACGTCGACTTTCCTTCGGTACAATCGAACGACACGACTCCACTCATAATTCCTCAATCGACAACCAACACACGCAGTGATACTCTAAATTTATCTGAAAATAAACTTGAGACGACGCGTTCTGGAAGAAGAGTTAGATTTCCAGAACATTTAAACGACTATTGCACTTAAGGCACTACTAGGCATCTAATATTATCTCGATCTTTCTTTTTACGATATATAATATATTAAAAAAACAATTTTAATATGCTTACATATTATTATTTTTATTCCAAAAAAAACAAAAAGAAGCATTATAAATTTTTTTAACGATATTACGTGTATATTAGTTTATATTCCAATTTTTTCGCCGACATTGTGTTTTTACGCACATACGAGTATATTTCGACATGCACTTACATTTTCTTTTTTGTTTCCCAGACCGGCTGGAAAAGAACGATGATGTTCAGGAGGAAGTGAAATTTTCATTGTACGTTTTCTTTTTTTACTATGTTGTACCTCGGTCCCATATAGTAAGGAAAGACGACCAGACGCTGCTAATCCTAGCAAGCTGTCAGAATAGTGTTTACCAACGACAAACTCGCTGGGTTTAAACTTCTGGCTGACCACGTCTTAGGGTCATCACAAACCCACTAGGGGGGGAGTGATCTGTAGTGGTAAATAAATCCCCAAAATAAATAGCCCTGTAAGTTTTCGACATTGGATGCTGACCACGTGTTTTAGAGGACTCATCTAGCTGAAGGCGCTCGGTCAGGCATCCGCACCAGATCACGTGTGGTAACGCCGTGCTCAACATCAACCGCAATCGCTAGTCAGATTAGATCAGAGAATTCCGATATTTTGGTTATCGCCAAATACACTCTTCCGATCTCCTCGACTCTGTCTTTTGATTTCTCTGGGTGGTTACGAATTATATTAGGTGTTACTGGTAGAAGCGTTGTCAAACATTGAATACCTGAGTCATCTTCAAGCAGATAAAACAAAGTAGCATTAGATTCAAAAATTTATTCAAGAACTTTCATTAAGAATCGAATATCAAACAAAGGTTTAAACCAAGTTCCCGTTTAAAAGTTGTATTGTTAATGTTAAGCTGCAGTTTTTGTTGTTTTTTTCCAAACGAAAGAGTAAAAGAAGTCAAAAAATACTGGAAGTGGTTATGAGACTGAAATGGACGTCCAGCATCCTTTTTATAATCTGCTGTTAGTTGGGTCCCCTGTAAACAGTTCTATAGGGCCATAGTTCTAAGGGCGAAACAGTTCTTAGGATCTGTGAAGGCTCACTCCTGTTGCATTCTAAATGGAAAAATAGTGATGAATTTAGTCAGAAATGTGGAATAGATAAGTAACCAAATTACATATTTTTTAGCAAAGAATTTATGCAGTTGTGATTTACCTTGAGTTCATGAATATTATATAAGGTCAGCTACTATTACTTGTGCAAAGCATAACATGGGCTTAGTACCGTATTGCAATGCTTTTATTATTTTGCTCCCATTTAAGCATTCCTGTGCATCCGCGTCTAGTTTAACAGGAAGACATACAAGCAGAGTTAGTGTCTGATGAACTGAAAGTCCCAGTTGTCAAAAAGATTCTTAACATTTGTCCACAGCCAGCTGCATTTAATTGAGACACAGAACACTCATCTTCTAAGACTGTATACTGCTGTTTTACGGGCAACTAAAAGCTCAGACGCTTGGCTATCTTGTTACCGATGTTATTGCTGGGGAAATTCGTTTAATGACAGTGATCATGAAATATGGTTAGTGATAGATGTACAGTCTAGAAATAAACAACAAACATACTTATCGCTATCCTATAATATAAGACAGCAACAGCATCAAAGGCACATTTTTTTCCTATTTTTAATCAAACTTATTTGAATCAGTATACGCATTAGAAACAGGCAGCTCTACTTACTAAACTGATCTGTTTCGTTACAGGCTTCAAGCACTATACTTAGGTATACCATAATTCTTTCAACTAAACTGAATTATACGACAACCAAGAATACTAAACTAAGCAAGTGTCATATTTATTGTTTCATTTGCACAGACATGTTGCTCAAAGTAGTTAAATGGACATAACTAAGCCGATAAAACCAAAACACGAAATATAGGCCAGTTGAACTTACCTAACAGAAGACGAAGGATATATATATATATATATATATATATATATATATATATATATTGCTTTCCGACTGAAGACAACAGTCAGTTGTTCATAGAAACATAGTTTACAGTACAACAAACCTTTTTTCAGTAACATTATGCAGTGACGGTCTATCTGGAAACAATCAACTATGTGATTAAACTAACTATGACTTGAGATATCATTCCAGCGTGCAATGAACGTACAGTATAACGCAGTAGGATGTGACGAATAAAAATTAAAAACAGAGAAAAATTAACAACATAATCTAGTTATTTAATTAAAAATACATTATGAAATGACAAAATCTGTGGTTGCTTGAACTCACAGATGACCCTATGCGATACAATAAGATTACATGGTTGCGTAGCGGATAAATTCACCCGTCATTTATAGGTTTTTGTTGTTTTTAGAATAAAATCTGAGCTCATAACCGAGTGATAATGGTGTATTATGCCAAAAATTATTAGAAACAGGAATTTTATCTTTCATTCTCTACGTAACAAATATTGGATATTACCGCTGATTGCCCGCGCCTTTCAGAGGTGGTGTTATGTGTCTGTCAGATGTTCTACGGAAACATGTTTTGTCAAACATGGAGTTGGTTAGTTTTTATAGTATGATTTAAGCTGAATCCTACTTATTTTGGGTGTTTATAAGTGATCATGTAGTGTTACTTGTGAGCAAACTTGTCAAACGTCCAATCTCTCAAATTTGGGGAAATTTTTTATCCGTTTTGAGGGAATTTCGCGGAAGCCGCTATAGAAAATCTTGGGAAAATGGCACAGAACTCCTAAACTTTTGCAGATTTCCCAAAATAAGGAGATTGGGTAGTGATTAACAACTGTTGACTACTGGGATAAGTTCCATAATTTTATTGACTATTCCAGTGGCCAATAGATGACGACCTTGTCATTCGAAATCACAATTACTTATGTCCAAATATTTTCAGAGGTGGGTACACGGGAAATTGTCTTCTGTCAGTCCTCCGAGTTCTCTGCTCTGTAGATATTACGTTCTGGTGTTGAGTCATAACCCAGGATTTTCAATATTGCTTGTTGTTGCGGAGAATCGCATTAGTACAGAGAGTGGTAATGAACACTTGATCAGACCCAGACTATCCAACTTCTGTTTTCGAACTATCGGAACATTTTTCACAAATGATCGTTCGTACATATAAACATATAAGAAATGTAAACAAAAACACCATTCTGTATTCCGAAAACTAATATAAGACCATTTTGACAGAAGTTCATATCTTCCAGTTTCCTCATTAAACTCAAAAGGCCTTATAACACCCCCAGTTACTAACCCTTAACTATCTAGCGAATGGTTTCTCATTGTTATTCTCTCAGATCAAGTTCAAAGTCAGCAAAAACTCCGAAGACTTAGTGTTGGAATACTTAGATCACTGCAATCGGTGTTCATAACTGGTCACAGAAGAGGGAAATTAATAATGAACACAGTGGCTTTGAGTGCGGTTAGAAGTGGGGCGCTTGTCAATTCCCGGTTGCCCACACTGTGGAAGGGTTCTTCTACAGGTACCTGAAAAGGAAATTACGTTAGAGCTGATCTTAACGACCTGAGAACATGACCGCAGTGCTCAAGGGACAAGGTCGGTCACACGACCTTTTTGTGGGTACAGTGAGACTAATTTATGAACGACCTTTGAGCGACACTAGAGTGTCCACCTAATAACTAGGACCAAACGAGGGTTATAAACCAGTGTGGGGAATTAGAATTGTGATTTACAGTTGATGGTTAGGGTTAGAAATTACATTTACTCAAAGACCTCTTATCGTATACCTGATTGGTTCGTCCATAAATCATAGTTTTCGCTGTGGGTACTTTTTGTGTTAACTCCGTACTTCCTGAGACCTTACTGACGGATACGGATATCTGTGGGATAAGGCGAAGTATGTATTTATAGAGTCGACCTTTTCTGACCCCCAGCCTTCCCTTGTGAGGAGGCAGCATCGCTGTTATGCTGGTTGTCTGAGGGAAACACCTTACTGCCGTCACACCTCTGTACAGTTAGCAGTCCGACTTTGCCCTCGGACCTTGAGTTTACTGCTTTTAGCCTTAACGTTCGCCAACCGACCTACCTAACATAGTTGGACCTTGAGGAACGATCTTTCCAGCCAGTATAACCCAATCGGTCTATCACGATAGGCAAGCTCGACCACCACGTCAAAGTGGTAGCAACGGTCGGGTCATAACTGATCATGTGAGTTAGTGCGCTCCAGTAACATCAAATTCGTTTTATTGGAAACACTAACTTTTGTCCAACATGTAATTTCGTAAGCGTATCTTCGCCATAGATCGTAAGATGAATTTCGATTCCATCAAATATATCCCTATTATTTACATTATAAAAACTAAGTATAGTTTTCTGAGCTGATTTGAGAATATGAGCTTCATGATAGTTCCAACTGATAAGAAATACCGTGGTTGGACGACGACGGATAAAATGTCACAATGAATTCAACACATTATAAACTTAGTCTGAATTAAAGAGAAATAATCATGCATCCAATATCTGTTTAGGTGACATTCATTTGATAATTTTGAGCAATGGTTTACAGTGTATTTATCACTCATCAACCTAACCCATTTATTTGCACTTATGAACATGTATTGTATTTATTATCATTAACACCAAAGCTCGCCAAACCAGATTGACCAGGTTTTGTACACTTGAACTTGAAAGTTCACCGATAAGGACTTTCCGTTGGTTAATAACCGTCCAGTTCCACTAATTATTCAGGATAATGTAACACTAGAAGTGGTTAGTAAGATCAAGTTTAAGAAGAGTTGTTTTGCACATAAATCAGGAAAACTCTGTAGTGGTTTCACACTGCTGTAAAACCCATGCTCATAGTTGTAGCTAACCAATATTTCTGCTCCCAACTACTGAGTGTCATGCTTCAGTCCGTCTTATCCACTTGCGTATTATCCCTTCATAGTTTTAGTATTGATTGTCTGAATCATAGTACTTAAGATTTCGAAAAGTTGGTGGTTACATTCTGTCTTAAGTGTCATAATTTAGGCTTGGGACAGAGTAAGGTAAGCATCTACTTTTTTAATCAGTTGGATTTTAAAGTAGCAATTTTGCGTGATCAGTGAACTCAATATTAATATGGTTAGTTTGTAATGTTTATACAATCTTCAGTAAATAATTCTTGTTTTTGTCGTACCTAGTCTTCCGAAGTTTCTTTCACAAATTACGGTCTACGATTTAGTAATACAAAATAGTTTGAGCATGGGATGGATTGTTTATGACGATAAAACGGCATATTTGCAATGTCACGACAAACGGAAAAGTGAATTAGTGACGCTTCACAACTTACAATAGGTCTAGAAACGTTAGAAATAGACTACCTAACTAAACATAATATATAGAAGGTATAAGTTGATAGTGAGGTGACAAGTGTATTGTTAATGATAAAAAACAACAGCTCAAATCAATGTGTAAACGTAGGTAGGTCAAAGCCCAGAAGAATAAACGTTAAAATCACTCAATGCGAATCGTGCAGATAATCGAATAGTAATGAATCTTACGAAAGGAACAAACGAGCATAGGATAATCTATTCCATGGTTACTGTTTACTCAGATATGCACGTAAACATTACGGTATATTAGAGCAAAGCCCGATGGAAATCTAATTTTGTTTGCTTATATGTATTACAACTCATTATATTCTTATAAATTAATTTATAATAACTACCATAATTATATATCTTGAGAGATTTTTCCTGTTTAATGGTAAATTTTACAGCAGCAGTACTTAACAGCATGTTATTGGGCCGACAAACTTGTTTGTCTAGAAAGATGTATGGAATAATCTCAAATTCATTCAACAAACTAATTTAGATCGTTCAGAAGATGTATTACTTTATGCCAAAGCCCTGTATTATAGTCGACAATATCATCGTGCAATAGCTTTAATTCAAAATTGTAAGGAGTTAAAAGTACGTTAACTGGGATATTTAAAAAACAACCTAGCAATCACTTGTTTGTCGTTATTTCATTGCCCAGTGTTATTACGCTTGCTCAGAATACAAAAAGGCTCTTGAATTTCTCGAACAGTCTGATTGTAATTCTACCGATTTCAACTCCAATGTAACGTCACTGGTCGCTGGTTCTTTATCTAAACAACTATGTATATCAACAGACTGTCAGAATGCTGTAAATGATGATTCCACAAAACAATCGAATACTGTATCAGACAGTTTAATAAGCGGTTTTAGTACAGAACAAGTAGTTTACTATTCGTTGAATATCCTATCTTGATATTTCTTAGCTTCATAGTAGTATTGCATTATTGAAGGGAAAGTTATATGAATTAATGGAAAACAGATCTTTGGCAACGCAATTTTATAAAGAAGCTTTACTTCTTGACGTAACATGTTATGAAGCCTTCGAAAAACTTGTACACTTTCAATCAATTAGCTCAGAAGAAGGTGAGTAATTATAGTAATAATTGGGGTTCTATTTATCTGGCAACAGAATCTGCTTTACTAACCGAATTGAATTTCACTGATCATGTCAATCCGTTGATGAGCAAATTGGCTGAATTTCTTTACAAAGATAAACTAAACAAGGTAATTGTTTTTGAAAATATTTCTTTGTCTAAAAGAATTCAGTATCAGAAACTAGGTACCTGGTGAATTTGACTCATTGACCAACAATGTCGACGTTATTGTTAATAAAGCTGGACGTATGTTAGATGTTTGTCGATTTCAGGAATGCTACGATATTACATCCAGGTATAAAACAAATAAGAACAGTAATATAACATCAATATTTTTTCTTTCTTTAGATTAATGCAATCAGATCCATTTAATCTTGCATGTTTGCCAATTCATATTTCTGTTTTAAAAGAATTAGAAAAAGCAAATGGTATCTACATGATTTTTCATAGACTTTTATAGTTTTACTTCTAAAGAGTTATTCAAAGTATCTCATAAACTTATGGATGTTTATCCGTCAAGTGCAGTAAGTTAGCTTTGATATTCGAGATAGATTTCTTTTTTTATAGCTTGCCTGGTTTGCGGTGGGTTGTTATTATCTGTGCATTAAGAAGAATGAACTTGCAAGACGACATCTTGTGTAAGTAATTGCTCAGACATTGAATTATTATACTATATGTATTGCTTAATTTTTTACTTATGAATGACTGTTTCGGTATGTTATTTAATTTTTAGGAAGGCTTCACAATTAGATAGAAGATATGGTCCTATATGGCTTACACTTGGGCATGCATTTGCTGCTGATGGTGAACATGATCAAGCTATTGCTTCCTATTGTACAGCTGCTCAAGTTATTCGAGGGTAGGTTTAAATTAAGAATACATTGAAATTTTTTCATTTCTTTACAACAATAAGTCAGATCTAAGTGGGCAGGACATAATTCGACTTCTTAAATTATCGTTTACCATAACGTTAGGACTTATTTTCTGGGACTCCGCTAATATCCACTTTGGGAACGGTACGTCTAGTAGGGATTTAATGCATATCATACATTTATTACAATTATATTGTAAACTTTTTGAAGCTATTGTACGTGGACTGTGCTCATTTTTTACATGGTGATCACTAATCGTAAACTTGATCATTTGTAATATCTCATTCTTCATCTGAATCTATCAAAAGATCTGTTCACGGAGTTTTAAAGCAATGACATAATCAGCATACATACATCCATCCTTTTTGCAACGATACCTGTGAAAAATTTTATCTCTCGGTAGTACAAAATTACGTGGCATCTAAGTAAGTCATCCAATTCAACATCATAAATTTTTCATCACTCCGATAACCGTGATCTTTTACTAATACATAACTTTCCGGAAGGCCAGATTCTTGTTTGTTTTATAAACTTTATATCTCAAAACCATGGAGTATCACAATACGATAACCATTAGAGTAACTTGAAATTACATATGAATCAAATAGCCATCTGTTCTTTCAGTTCTTCAAATGAACAAATTACTACATATGAAAATTGTTGTTTATTTTAGACTTGAATTCGATTCCTTCGTTTTTTAACAAACTACTGACTTTTTTGGTGATATTATAAAATATGCCTGTTAGATTGTAGCCGTCAATACTTGCTCGTTTCTGGGCCAGATTCCAATAGATAGAATGGTCTGATTTTGGTGATATATCGTTATTTCTCATGTCGTAACACACAGCTTGTAGAATATGTAACAAAACGTTGTGATATGAAACGAGTTGATTACGACTGAATAAGCCAATCATTTTAAAAAACCCAGTAGTTGAACGTATTTGTAAACTTATAGATAGAATTTGAGAGCTTGTAGTTCAGTCCTGGTTGAAAATGAACAGCTATGGAATCGCAGGAAGTTTTTAGTGTTATTGGAACTCAGGCTTTCTTTACATCTTCACGTTTTAGACGATGAAGCACAGCACTGTTAAACCTCCGTTAGCGAAAGTTGTTCTGAAGCCTTATAGCTCCTTAGTCAAAGGTGAATTTTTTAACAGTAATTGTGACAAAAAATCGAACAACTTCACTACTCGTTGTTAGTGCGTTTGTAATTAAAGTTGCTTCTATAATAATTAAAAATCTCAATCTATATGAGTTATTCGTAATAGTAATCACTGTTGTTCGTTTTCTTTTATCTTGACGCTGTATAGTTCGCATATTCCTATTATGTATATTGGTATTGAATACAGTGCTAGCAATAATCGCAATCTAGCTGAACGATTTCTTAATCAAGCCTATTTAATTAGTCCAAGTGATCCTTTTGTTTTACATGAACTGGGCACATTGGCTTTTGAATCACAAAAGTAAGCAAACTTTGTGCGTGAATTATGTTTATTTTTTTGTATTACTTCTATCGTTAACGTTTAAGATATCATTTCTATTGAATCAATCACCATGTTATGGCACATGAATTTCTTATTTCTCAACCAAGCGTCATAGATTTTCTGGGCTAGCATTGGTAACCGATGCATAAAGTGTACAATTATGATTTTGAATTGTATTGACTATCTCAGGCACTGGAGACGATTTATATTGAACTGTTTGTCACATCTGTTGTTGAATATGTTCCTTCATCTGTGTTCAACTGTCGCGTGATCTATTGTTTGTTCCCCTTTAAAATCTAAGGTTGCAAGTCTTGAGTCTATAATCATTTTTCTTTTAAAGTTGTTCCAATAGCCATAAATGACTCCATATTCCTAAGTGCACATAAGTAAGCAGTTTTATATCAATAGGATATCATTATACTCTGACAACATAAACATATTTGGAAAATAGTAGGTGAGTAATGGTCTCAACTGTTCGAGATCGCTAACTCTTCGTTTCAGCTTTTTGCATAGAGTATTCATTTAATATTTAAACTATAATCTTAAATGGATTTAATTAATCTTCTTTATCAGAATAGGGGGTTGTGGAGGTTGTAGTAATTCGACAGTCGGGTTCATGAGTCGATTTAAACTAGACCACCATTGAAAACCTGGAGGCGCTGAACGTCTGTTTCTTCTTAGTTTAGTTAAAGTCTTAGTAAGATCTTAATAATAATGGTAAAAACAAAATATATTCAGTATTTAGGTGATATATCATAATTGGTAGTGAGTTATTGAATCAATAATCTAAAGCTGGATAGTTTAGCTTTTGTCATTGTGCATGTTTGTCGAATAGAACAAATCTGTCCGTTAAAAAAGTGTTTGTCCTAAATAATTAGCTTCTTTTTAAAGCCAATGGTAATACTACTGTTTGTACTTAAGCTGTTCAGCTTAAAGGGCATAATCGTATCTAAAGGGATTTGGTTTAATTTTATTTATTCCCTTAAATGTGTTGGGTTTTCTTAATTCACTTGATGGCGTAACAGTCAACATATTAGTTTGTGATGTATCTTCATGTAACCCTTTGATGAAAAATATATATTTACATAATTCAAAAAAATGATTAGTGTAACTCGTCAATTACTAGTTTATATTCTCGACTGTTAGCCACGTTTATTAGAAGAGCAGGGCTACAGGTTACTATTCAAGTGTCTAAACCTAAACAATTGGACAGGGGATTTTAGTCGGTCAGCTACAACGTAGGACCAGGAACATATATGCATCGGTCCAAGTTGCCATACCTCATCAGCACAGCAAGATAAACACCAAATTCATAGAAGTAATTACTTCAGTGGTAGTAAGGTATAAAAAAGATTAAAACTAACTAACGTTATTCCCAGCAGTAGGTATATGATGGAACTAAACAGAAATGGAGATTAAAACACGAAGTTCAGCGAAGGGATCTCTTTTCAACGAATTTATTATCAAGCTGTACAATCGTATATATATGAAAATTTTGTTTTTGTAAAAGTACTGATTCTGTGAGGATATGTGAACACAGTTAATAAAAAAGGTTGTAACACTAGATTACGTAATACGAATAATAATAGATTTAGTGAATATAATAAGATGATTAAAATGTTTTTGATATAATAATTAAAAGTCATAGAGGTGTAAAAAATAAATAAGGTGATATGGTGAGTATTTACGAATAAAACAATGGGAATATAAGACATAAGTAAAGGGGGGAATGCAGTAATCATAATAATAACAATAATAATAATAATAATAATAATAATAGGATAATCAAAATAATTAAGGCCAAGGTAACGATAAGACGTACTTCTTTTGTACGCATAGTTCTGGTTTAAGCTCCTGGATGGTAAGAGCTTCGGCTATTTTTAAGAGTTGGATACGAAGAAATCTGGGTAGATTTGAACGAATCATATAAACAACCTTAAAATCAATTTGTGGATCTGTAGAATGGTTATAGTCGATTAGGTGTTCAAGTATAGAACTCCTAACTGCTTTCCTTCCACCCTTATAGAACCAAGATGGGATATGTTCCCGTATCCGAGTTAAAAGCGAGCGCTGGCTACGGCCAATGTACCTTGCTCCACAAGAGCAGGTGAACTGTTAGATGCAAATGGAGGCGACCAAACGCGGAAGCTTATCTTTTATGGATACAGAAAATAAGTTCCTACTAGTGAAGGTTATTCGCAGTTTTGCCGCGTTAAATGTTCTTCTAATAGTTGTTGTTAGACGATTTTTGATAACGTCTGATGTTCGACCACCTTTTAATTCCAGACTTATATAAAGGCTTTTCTTCGGAACGGAACAACTAGATTTCTTGTCGTAGCTACTTCTATTCATATTCTTTTCTATGAACCGTTCCGGGTAACTATTTTCCGTCAAGGTTTTCTTGAGGAATGCGTGTTCTTCGTTAATGCATTCCGTACTGCATATCTGATGTATTCGATAACATAAAGAATGGATAAGGTTTCTCTTCCTACTTAACGGAAATCAGCTATAAAAGTTGGTTAGCTGGTCATTCCATATTTGTTTTCTAAAGATGGATCTTTTTAAAGAACCATTACTCTTTCTCATCAGACGTACATCGAGAAAAGGAATTGATTGGTCTCGTTCCCTTTCTAAGGTGAAGTCTATGGAAGGGTGGCATGAGTTAAAGGTATGTAGAATATCATCTAAATCAATATTATTGTCACAAACGACAAACGTGTCGTCCATGTATTTCACGTATAGGTGGAATCGATTGATCATTGAACGGAGTTGGTCGTTTTCTACTTTTGTCATGAAACAGTTTCCTAAAGTTGGACCCAGCGGAGACCCCATTGCGATCTCATCCCTTTGTCTATATATTTCATTATCGAAACTGAACTGGACATTAAAACTACAGCATAACAATAGTTCTTTCAAGTGTTCAGTAGGCAAACCTAGATCTATGTTGTTAGAATCAATATACTCACATATATAACATATCGTTTCGGTTAAAGGTACGCTAGTGAACAAAGAATTAACGTCAAGCGAGAACATGTGTTTTTTCGGAAGTATTAACGTCCTTAATACGATCAATAAATTAAAAAGTATCATGAATAGAATATTTACATACTTGCCTTCTAACCGGTTCCAATTTTTCCGCTAACCATTTGGCGATTCTGTGGTATGGTGAACTTGACATATCCAAAATAGGTCGTAACGGTAAACCCGGATTATGTACTTTCGGTAGTCCATATAAGCGCGGGATTGTTGAACCCATGGGACGTATGTTATTATATAAATCTTGGGTTATTATCCCCTTATTCTTAAGATTTTTAGCAACATCTGTTAGCTGTTTTTCGATTTGCAATGTTTTATCAACTTCTTTAAGTTTGGAGAATTTAGTACCATCCTCTAGAATTAACCTCATTTTATCCAAATATTCTTGGCGGTCAAGCAGTACTACACCAGCTCCTTTGTCAGGTTTACTTAGGATTAAACCCTTATTTCTTTTCAACAGTATTAGAAGTGGAGATAGTGGATAGTCTTGTCGGACATCACTTGAGGTTGCGAAATCAGATGACAGTTCGCCATAAGTTCTGACTCGAATAGTAGTGTTTGAGTAAAAGCTTTCACAAGGTTTATGCACTTCTGAGGTACACCTTTCAATGACAGACACTGCCACAGGGGATGTTAACCTTTGATCAAGTGGTTGAAAGTTAAAGACTGTAACCGATTAAGCCATAACCCAAAAATTCAGAACTAATTAGAATAGTACTAAAAGATTTTTGTTACTTCATCACAATTCATTAGTAACTTTTTCTATACTCCTTTTTAGATATGTAGACGCTACAAGATTCCTAGTTCGAGCTTATGAAAAGGCTTGTGAATTAAGTGGACAAGTTCCTTCGCCTTTCTGGGAGCCTCTTGTTAATAATTTAGCACATTCTTATAGGAAAATGGGGTAAATGAAATTTTATGTCTACAATGTTTTAAATATTAGTATCTTATTCCAACAGGTTTCTTGTCAGTTGAAGACTCACACAATTTAGTAGATATAAACAGACCATATCTAGTGATATTTGTTTAAGCTGTTTAACTGTTGTTAAATAAGATTTAATTGTACTTGAGAATATAATGCAAGTGTAGTGTTATTTAGTTATATGTGAAAAACATTACTTGCCTAACTAATAACACATGTATAAAGCAGAATAACGGTTATTCTTGGCAGTAAAATATTTTGTCAAGCAATCACGCGAACATAAACAAAAAACTGTCAATAAAGACACAACCGCAGTGTTATTTCGTTGAAATTTTATATAAGAAAACTTCGTATCACAATCGTTTGAGAAATAATACCCTTAATCAAATCTCACGAAATATTGTCGCAATACCAATAGTGTTAATAAGCTCACACTGTCTTGTAATAAGGAATATAACTATCATTCCTTGTCTGAATGAGTCAAAAATGCTTAGATCTATCTTGAGTCACCTGACCAGTCTGTATATGTTTTTCATCGCGGCATTTCAATTTTCGGTCATTATGATTATTTGTAGATAATTAGGACAAAAAGTTGTACATATGATTGTTGAGTGTATTAGTATATTTAGTATATAACTAACTACTTAGTTCGCTGTACTTTTACATAAATATGTTAAAACCCTTTTATTTGAACTGAGTTAGACTTTACAGCCAAGCAATAGCTATGCATGAACTTGCACTTCGCTTAGTGCCTGAGTCTCCAACAACACTTGCGTGCTTGGCAATGTTGCATGCAATCAATGGTAACCTTGAAGTTGCAGTAGACTATCTTCACCGGTCTGTTGGGGTCCAACCATCGAGCTGTGGGTCTACTTCTAGCAATGTGGCTTCTACAATGCTGAATGTATGTATTGAAGCGTTAACGGGGAAAGGAATTTATGCTTCGAATCATAAAGTTGGAAAAGGTAAGGGTGAATTGAATCGACCAGCCTTTTTATTTTCTATATTAAATGAATGCGGGAAAATAGATATACACTATTACGGTGTATGCACACAGATTTCTACTCACAGAATATCGACTGTCAATATAATTAATCAATTAGTAAATATAAAAGAATAGTATATATTAAAACATACAGCGCAATTAAGGGAAACTACACATGCATGACTATCAGTTTCTATTCTAAATTATAATAAAATCTCATGCCACTGAGTTGCATGATTTTCATGAGTTCTTCTAAAGCCATGATGAACAAACAGCTTCTGTCCCACAGATTGACTGCTTCTACTGTTTTTCCACCTAGCGTCAGCAAATAATAGGGGTATGGAGTAGCGTGGAGCCCTTATAGAGTCACTGCCGGTCCAAAGCCCGAGTGAAGAAGGGTTACGGATGAGATTGGCAACTCTATCCCGTAGAAAAGAATGTTGCTAAAAGAACGACAGCCAGAAAAGTCATTTGACTATTTAGGCTCTGCATCGGGAGTTAAAGGATCTTTCAAGTGACTGTGAAAATAAAATACAGTCTGGCGGTGCCTAAAATACGTGAAACACATTGGATGGAAGCTGGGTAGAAATATTAGCTTTGGGATATGTGCTGCTGTATTTTTATCATGGAGAAGAAGGTGCCTCTCGCATACAAGGAGCTGCACGTTTCTAATAAAAATCTTGACGGGACAATTTCTCTTGAAAAACACTAATATACCAGTCAGGATCCATTTCTAATCTCATACTTGTTATGGCTTACTATGTAAAATTTGGTGCGATACCTTACTTACACTTTAAATTTTATTTGACTGTTCAGATTCTATCATTGGAGATTTCATTTCTTATCCAGATATGAGTTATGGCACGCTGGCGTTGTATAAAAACCCTATGGATGTTGTGATATGCAAGTATAGAACATCATAGTTGTCACCATCGCTTCTATGTAATTCATAGTGCCAGGAGCGTTGGTAAAATGTCATTGCCTTTTAAGACATTTTAAAGGCTTTATAGACTTTACAGACTACTGTGATGCTAGATTCAGAATTCAATTGACAGGAAACATTGTTTAAATGGTCACGGTGTGTATGCCGTGTTTGCCGATGTACACATTTTCGATTATTTATCAGAATAGATTAATACCATTCCCGGTCGCACAGTGAATCTATAGCTCTTGCTCAAAATAGAGTATAAATCATTTCATGTACCTGAGTGATCTAATCAAAACAAAGACTCAACTATGGGTTTACGATTACTGTATATTACGTATGAAGATGAATAATAAACCTTTATATGTTTGCTACAATTTTCCTAAAATCCAGTCGCTGAATTTAGAGAACTCAAGGAATTCTATTTACTCTTGCTATTGCTTTAGATATTCCAGATACTCTTCCTGAAAACCTTATGACTGCTGCTGGACCAGGAAGTCTCCCAGGATCCAACCGGATTCGTTTTAAAATGGCACCAAGTGAGACTTTAAAGCCTAACAAATCGGTGCTTCAGTTGGATGTTAATTATAGAGAAAAATCTGCTAACGCTCCTAACATATCGCTGCACACAAGCGATGAAGATGTGTCTATGGACCTTGGTTAATTCCTTGGTTTTATATAAGTGATTGCTATTGTCCACATATTCTCTTGTAACTAGATGTGAAACAAGACTAAGCTTTACACATGTTTTTTTTATCTGTCATTAGGGATTCAAATTTTCCAAGTATAACATCTATCCTACTCGTCTTTACGATTGTATTCACGTAGATTCGTTTTCTCCCCATAATTCAGTCGTAGCTGTCACTCTGATGTAGTGGTCATCTCTACGTATATTATTTCTTAAACCAATTGATACTATAGCATCAATGATTGCGGGTTGGTTTTTAACCGGAAAACAAAGTCATGCTGCTGTATGATCACATACTTCAAATGCATGAAGAGACAAAGTTTACAACTTTCAGGTTATAAAAAGCAATCTGATAGTGATTGATTCCAGTTTGGGCGCCCGGACAGTATCTCAGCCCTCGCACAAATCGGATGATGAAGTATGGCGCATATATATTTGGTACCCCCTTGTACCAGTGTTTGTGTTTAAATGGAATAAATAATAATTAATTTCAGAAAGCATACGTTTCGATTCCAGTCGCTTGCACGTCTATTGCTAAAAGAAATCTTTGAAACATAACTAAGGTTTAGTCTGAATTTAAAGGTCAACGATTTACTTATTCGTACATAAAGAATTATTGATAAATAGTTTCGTCACTCGGTAATACAATTTATTAATTATTGCTCGGTTTTATTCAGCTAAATTTTATATATGTAAGCAACAAGTATGAAAAAGCTTATAGTAGCTGCAACATTATCAGTTCTCTAGTCATTAAGTTGAACTGTTCACGTAATTTTATATCATTACAATTGTGATGAGGAATGTATAACAATACGAGTCTCTGTTTAGATCAATGTAGCTGACGAAAACTACTAGTAGTCTTTAATACGTCCGTGCACTATGGTAATATTTCGCAACCCCGACTTCAATACAGTGAACGAGACGATTATCCTCTTCTTTACTGGCACCATAACTGGAGTAAAAAGATTGAAGCGTTTCGACAATGGCCTCAGTACACCAACCGAAAATATTAATCAATGGATTATATATCAGTTACAATCATTGGAATCTATGGACTAATTATTCGTTACTAAGCCAAAATATTATTGAAAATGTACCGAAAGCCTACGAGTACAGTCCATACTAGATCACTTGATGTAACGGAAATGCATCTGAATTAATATTGATTTCATTTCTCTTAAGCTGTATTTCAGGACTGGACATCTTTAATAGTTTTAGATACAACGCTGTATGAAATAAGGTTCGTACTTAGGAATACCGCTACTCACTACACTTTGACCTACACTATTGTATCCCGAAATACCACAATACTCAGATAATGAGAAACACAATAGTATTAAAATAGTTACTGTTGGAAAAAGATGAATTAAGCATGTACTCTATATTTTATGTTGTAGCTTCGTTTGAGCCACTCATGGGTTTCTCTCTTATAAAGCTAAAAATAAGTCAGTAATTTCATGGAATAGAGTACTAAGGTTTTTACTTCATTCCTATTACAGGCAACATCAATTCAAATACAAACCAAGCATGCAGTGCATAAAGTTTTTCCCCACCATTTCGTTAACATCAAGAGTTTGGTCTGTGAAAACGCCCAAGAAACAGGCTTCTAATTTTTTTGCGGTCATGAGTGAGCGGTTGAATCTGCCACTATATCTACAAGACAGGATATAGGAACCGAATGTACCATACATTAATAGTCATTGGTCTGACTTTATGATCTAATTTCCGAACTGAGCAATCTCCCAACTGTATGGGTCTTGTAAATATATGCAAGCTATTTAAGCACTTAAACGATCACTTAATCTGACGTATCTGGGTGAACAGTGGTGGATCGCATGTAAATTAGTCAAATTCACTACTACTAATAATATAATTATTACTATTTGTGTGCTTTTCACTCATACTGTGCTAATATAGAGTACGAAAAAGTGGCATGTGTTTACAACATTTGCGACTGATTTTCATAGAAAGGAATTTCGGGGAATCTCAAGATACTTATTACAAGTAGATTTCTTGAGACTTCACGTAAGTAGTGATTAAAACATGCAAATCGATAAAAATGTATTCAATTCTATGTACATGGCTACGTAACACTTTTAGTGACTAGTTTATATACAAAGTTCTTAATCCGTTTAAGTATCACTGGGTAGACGCTCCAAATAAATCAAATGAAATGAAGTTACTTGAATGTAGGAAGAAACGAAGAATTATAGTACTGTAATGACTGTGAGGCACTTGGTACGGATGAATCAAGGTTGAGATGAACAGGCCAAAAAGAACTATTGTTATGTGGGTTTGTGAGTGTATACGAATTAGGAGTAGCATATGGTGGTAATGATCTGGGCAAATTCATTAGATTGAGTGGAATCGAAGGGGTTTTATGGTTAGTAGACTGATTAGCATACACGGGAGGGCATACAGGTTGAGAAAAAGATGTATGATTATTTAGAGTTGAAGGATATTGAAAGGTGTTTGAGGAATACGAATGGTAAGGTAAAGTACTGGCCGGATGCGATTCTAAGTGGTTTGAAGTAGGAACTCGTTTTCTCTCGGTAGGTGGTTCATTAACACCTAGAAAATCAGCAATAGCAGATAGTCGTCTTCCAGCTGGATTGTGGAATTGGGAGTTTGTGCCTGAACCCTGGTTAACTTCACCCCTCATTCCACGCCTGAAATATCTTGGGGTTTTTATCCAGTTCTGCTTTTGAGCTTTTTTAAGTTCACAGCGTCTTGAAAATATGGTGTACGCGTCGAATATTTTCTCATCATTTGTAAGGTTATCTGGTGCTGGTTGGTGCATTATATTTTGTGGTTCATATGGGTTAATAAGTGACTTTAAAGGAGGATTGTTTTGCGCATGCCGATTAAATGACGTTGAAACGACTTGATTTTTGTGACACTCAACACCTCTTTGAGGCGAATTCGGGATATTCTTCAGTCCTTCTCTGTTTATTGGCACGGGAGCATAAACAGGTCTTGAGACGTTCAGGTGATGAGAAGGGTTAGGATGCTCCATTTTCGTAATCAAAGGTGTATTGTTTACAGTCGAACCTACGGAAGCATCTGACAAAACGAAAAATTGGTATAAGCTATAGAAATGAAACTAATCTGACTAAAAAAATGTACATCTCAGACAGCCCCTAGACGGTAGACATGATAAAGCCAAAATATTTGTAAGAAACTTAATGGTAACACTACCTAGTACTTTGACTAATAAAATACTATTACTGAGACAATTAGATCGTTTTGTGTTGAAAATAAATGTCACATTTATAAAAATGTCACTCATGTAGTTAAGAGTTTGCTATCCATCATTCAAATTATAATATGAACTCGTTAGACGAGTTTATTTTACTGTCTGTATCAAATGACTAGATAGTTTTAGAAACATTGTATGACTGTGTAGGAGAGTATTGGTTCTTAGTAGTTTATCCATCTTACGAATAGAAGCAACGTATAGGGATGCTTGGCTGTTGAAAAGTCTAGAAATTCAATAATTGGGAATTCGCCTAAGGCAGTGAATTATTAATTGGAACACATGGTTTCCGTAAGTCCCAAGTAAAAACCTCGCATCACTAGCCTTATTGCAAACAGTATAAATCAAATATATTATTTTCTACTTGACAAATGAGTCACATCTAACTTAGAATTTCACCATACAACAGAATAGGTGTTTACTTACGGTGTACTGGATCTTCAATTCCTGATATTTGATTATAACCAGGAGATATATATTGCTGATTATCTCTGTTAGTAATCTGCTGACTGGAATTTTTAATCTCAGTTACATTGATATTCTTTTCTTTTAACGTTGGATTTAGACCCCTAGGTAACTGTCCGGAAGATTTGAGAGCATCAATAGCTGATAATATTACATTAAATGCACTGCTGGATAAAGCTATTCGAGTGCTATTCTCTCCTGCATTAGCATTACGTTCATTTAAGCTCCCAGTGTTTGGAGGAATAGGGTAGTTGTAATTCTTGTACATAGGAACTGAAGGGCCTACTGGAGTTCCAAGTGGTGGGAGAATTAAGCCTTTTTCAAATCTTCTAAGAAAATGGATTGTTAAATTAAACACAAAGATAAAAATTGTCAATACAAAAGCATATAAATAGATAATTAAAAGTATTTGTGCTAAAAATATCAATCCGAACAGCCAGTCAAAGCAACTACGAGTTATTCATTGACTTGTACACATATACAAAAATAATAGGTCGTTTGGGATTTCATTCTAACTATATAAATATGAGGAAAAACAGTTTTTCAGGAGGGGTAGGCAATTTTTATGACTAGTGAGTCATCAAATTTAGGACTTTCGTTGGGATAATTCTACCGACTGAAACACATTTGATTAAGTCTGTTTACTTTAATAATTTAGACAATAAAGTAATAAACAAAAACCTATGATTCAGATCACTTTGTTAGTAGAGAGGTAGAGGATCTCTAAATAATACAGTCGGGTGATGGCAGCCATTGATGTGAATCAAATGACCGTTAGGAAATACTAAAACAGTGAGTTGGGTGAGCAACAATTCTCCAAATATTGCTTTTTATTTCGTCACTGAATGTATGAAACATGGAAGTTACAGGGACTTGATACCAGATATCTTCCTACAAATTACTAGCTATGTCATTATGTAAAAATGGTGAATTAGTGAGTTTGTAAACTTTAATTGATTGAGATGGCCAAGAAGTGGTTTGCATGTGCCTACCTTAGTGGTATGCTAACCAGATTAAAGGTGAGTAGTCAGAAGTTTTAAAAAGGTCTAGATCACACACGTATTGTAGTATCAGTTTATGAAGTTTCGAAATGCTGGGTCCGAAACTTCTCAACTGGAATCAGTAGAGATACGAGACCAAAGGTTTGGGGCTTCAGGTTATCAGGCTCATAAAAAGATGTTGAAGTAAAGCTGATGCATTCTAAACATCATCCAATTCTAACTGCTGAGTACCTTTATTTTAGTTACTTAGCGCC